CTAGGAGAGAGGAGGTCCTACAGGTAAGATCTAAGGTAGAGGGTTGTCATAGTCTAACCTTGTAAATGTGTCACTAGGAGAGAGGAGGTCCTACAGGTAAGATCTAAGGTAGAGGGTTGTCATAGTCTAACCTTGTAAATGTGTCACTAGGAGAGAGGAGGTCCTACAGGTAAGATCTAAGGTAGAGGGTTGTCATAGTCTAACCTTGTAAATGTGTCACTAGGAGAGAGGAGGTCCTACAGGTAAGATCTAGGGAAGGTCAAGGTTACCTTGTACATAAGTCGCTAGGAGAGAGAAGATTCCACAGGTAAGATCAGAGGAATGTTGAGGGCTGTTATAGTCTAACCTTGTGCATGTGTCACTGGGTTAGAGAAGGTGGAAAGTTCAGAGGAAAGCCAAAGGTCATCATAATGGCCTGACATGTTCCACTAGGCATTTATAAAGGGAAGGTTCTATATTTAGGGTTTTCATTTGTACACAATACTTTGTAAGAACACCCTCCATTTACAGATATTTCACCAACTACTTTCATTAAAAATTAGCAGAATGGTAATGAGGTATTATGAGATGTACTGAAATGAACCACCTCCTTCATGTTGGATACATTTGAAGTGTTTAAAATCTGATTGAAACCCCTGTATTTCTAAGCTAAAGTTAATTGGTCAGGTATAATCTGACCTTGTGTTGTTCCTGAAGTTACAAAGAGGTCATACAAGTATTAAGGTCAAAGGTTAAGGATCATGTTTAGTCAAATGAAGACTTTCAAGATATCTAAATGTTCAGCAGCAATGGAATTGATTGGTTGATTTGGTTGATGGCAATAATATAATAATATTTAGGCGCCATGTGCACTTAACTATACTTTTGTTAATTGTTCATTGGAACCTCATGTAGACTTGAATAAGGTTTCAAGTAGTTACTGATTTCAAACTACTTGCTGATGAGACAAATTCTTCTTGTGTATTATATTCAATATAGACCAATCCATATTAATGAAGAAAAGAGAGAAACTGGAAAATGTAAAAATTTCTATTTAGAGTACTAGCCCATGCTAGAATTTACACCCCTGACAATGTTTATAAATATTACATTCTACTGTTTTAGGATGCCGACAAAGTGTGTATAAGTCAGTTGTCATTGGTCGACCTGGCTGGTAGTGAGCGCTGTCACAGGACGGGCAACATGGGCGACAGACTCAAGGAGGCTGGTACGTTATTTATAGAACTCGTTGTTGTGGCTCATAACCATAGTAAAGTGCACAGCACAGTGTGAGTGTGTGTTGATAACAAAGATGTACTTGAAAGGAATGTCTGTAACAAAAAAGGTGTTTTGCATAAAGCAATATGGTTATTCTGGTCAGATGCACATCTTGTTTTCTTGTAAAACTGATATACATCACCTACTACCTGTCTACCACAGCCTTGATAATAAGTTAAAGGTTGTTAACAATTCTGACATCGCTTAGAACAATTTAGTTACAGTGCATAATATATGATAAAAACCTTTTGTTGGATACTGTTAGCTGTGCATAGGTCATGTCCTTGCACATACTGTACTGTTTTATTTCTTGTTAAACAAATTTAAAAAAAAGGTCACATCTCGATTACACTCGATTTGTGTTAAAGATAATAATGTACAGAGTGGTATGATGAATAAAGTTATAATATGACCATTTCCATATCTTACTCTCTACCAGCCCTCGATCATATCAGCCCTCAGGCCTCCAGCTTGTCTGGCTGATTTGGAGGTCATGGCTTGATACAGGGTAGCATATGGAAGTGGTGATATTGATAACCTCTATATATTATTTACCGTAAATTTTTCACTGCAGTATAAGTTTTGCTTTTCCCCCTTCTGTAATAAAGGGCCAATTTGTCATCACAGCAAATAAAGTTAACAGCATAATAAACAGTTATTTGCTGTAAAGGCAGAAATTAACACTGGGTGAAAACTTAACTCATCGACGAAGGGCAAAACGTTCCCAGTATACAATAACTAGGATATTTCCAGATATTGTACCCAATATGTACCTACTGGCTAATACCGATGTCTTAGATTGATATAGGTAGAATATAGAAATTGCCATACAAAATGTAAGTGGACTATACTGTAAGCACTTTGTTTGTGCATCTATCTGTTCATGGTGAAAAGCTTGTGTAAAAGATGTTTGTCATGAACTTCTCAATGTTTTTGTGTTAAAAGGTAACATTAACCAATCTCTAATGGTGCTGAAGACGTGCATGAAATTACTGCGAGAGAACCAGAAAAACAACGAAAATAAGGTAAGTTTTTATTTGGATTGAAAGTCAAGTGTATCACACCTTTTATATTATAACAAAGTGAAAGGGTGAAGTGGTATCATTTTCGGATTCCTTTTAAGACGGCGGCTGGCGCATTCACGATTTTTGCCGATTTTATCGTGAAAGTAAAATCGTGAATGCGCCAGCTGCTGTCTTAAAAGGAATCCGAAAATTGATCTGCATGTGGTTTTTACTCGTTAGTCACCCAAGTCCCGAAAATGTTTGAATAAAGATAAGGAAATTGATATACAGGCAAGCGGTGAAACAATTATGACTTATTAACCTTGTGTACAAATGGCGCTCATTTCGGTACAAAATAGGGAATTGGGGGTCCGTGATTCTTCCCTGGAACATTGTGGGGAGATTTTCGGAAGCTTGCTCCATGACGGATCTCTAAACAACTATAGAAAACGGTAACAACGTGGTCGTTCCCAGATAAACTCTTCTGCTAAAGTATCTGTGTGTGTTAGGCGACAAAAAACGGACATATTTGACAAGGTAATGCCAACAATGAACATTTTACAAACTACACAATAAAAAAAAATTGCCCTCGTCGCATTTACCAACTTCTGACACCTTGTTTAGAAAAATAAATTAAAAAAACACCAATGATGTGGAATGCATGTTATTTCTGGCAATATTTGACTTGGAACAGAAACAATTATTTACATTGTTGCCAAAAAAATAACATTTTTCATAACTTACATTCAATACCATAAAAGTCTTAATTTCATAATGAGTGTGGTATGTATCTAGATGGTGCCCTACAGAGACTCGAAGCTGACCCACCTGTTCAAAAACTACTTTGATGGAGATGGGAAGGTTCGAATGATTGTGTGTATCAACCCACGGGCTGAAGAGTACGATGAGACCATTGTGAGTACCGTTTGTCTAAATGTAACTTGTACTCTTTGTAACTCTCTTCACAGATAAAGCTAACGTAATCCTGTTGCAATCATAGCAATATGAATGCAAGGCAATTCGGCTTGGAGTTAAAGTCAGAGGCAGCATATTCTCAATGATGTTAAAAATGTAACCCTTCGTATTTTGGATTATAATTGGTCAATTTAGAAAAATAAAAAAATACTAAATATAAAGCATAAAAAGCATGAAATTTTGTTAGTAATTTGTTTTATGATTTTATCCTAATACAGAGTGATAAAATTTGTCAGTTGAAATTTTGGTTGTTGAATAGTTACTATACAGCTACCAACAACTTGTCAGTTCAATTTACACAGGTATTCGGATATAAAAGTTAATCTGTTTCAGGAAAACAGACAGAAGAAAACTTTGGTTTATACATGTATCATAGGAGCAGTGAAAATTTTGCAATATATTATTTTTAGTGATGATAAATTTAGTGATCTGTAGATAAATCCCCTGAATTTCTACAATTAATCCCTTCTCAAAGGAATTATAATTCAGGTTTAATTGTTTAAGAATTTCTTTTGCATTATAATTTTCATACAAGACTAAGGAACTTTGAATGAGTTATCTGCTTCCATCGTCTTGTCATTGTGAAGTGCAGTATTGAATATAAGTATTTACAATGAAGTGTAAGGTTCCTCCTCAGCTTACTAAACTGTTACAGAAATGTAACGTTGCAAGCCTGAACTAGATTTCAAATATTCGCCTTAAAGTGACAGACTAGCAAATTTTGGCTTTGACAATTTCTATTTCACAATAAATTTATTGACAAAAAATATCAATTTAAGTTTTAATCAAAATGATGTCAAAAAGTACCATGAAAAGTTATATAAATTTGACTTGATTCACACTAAAACTACAATTATGTTTCAGCATGTGATGAAATTCGCAGAGCTAACACAGGAAGTGATGGTTGCGAGGTCGGAGCAGGTGAAGTTTGACATTGGTCTGACGCCTGGTCGCCGTAGGATGAACCAGCAGTACCAGGAAGCACTGGCTCACATTCCACTTATAGGTAAGTAACAGTAACACATCACCTTAAGGCCAAGGCAAACATTTGTCTTGTTTTCTGTGATATTCTTGGTCAATCCTCCAAGTCATTGATAGGTAGGGGCTACATACCAACTCAGGCCAAGTAGAAATGTATAGATGTTTCATTTAACTTTATAGGGTTGTATTCAAGAAAATGGTTTACATGTTGTCTTAGAACAGTTACATCACCAGTTGTGTTAGGGTATCACACATATAAACTAATTATTAGTTTAAAAAAAAAATAAACAAGAAATCCAATCAAGGATAGAAATGATTTATTTTTGTTTCAATGGTGTCAGGTAGAATTTTTACAGGAAGGTCCTTCCACCAAATAAAAATTGAAAATTGTTTGTTTCCTTTGTCATTTTTCTTGATGAAGACATTAAAGGCGTTGATGGGCAGCTTTTACTTGAGTTAGGCTGAAATCAAAAACTGGAATAAGAATCAAGAATCATTGAACATTCTTAGTTATCATCACAGACCGCCATAAGCTGTGTGGTTACACATCAACTTCGGCCCAGTGAAACTTGTCCAAGATGCCTTTAGTGTTTTGAATAAGATTCATCAGTTTGTAAATATGTAATATCAAAGTTTTACTCTACACACAAACAACGTATGTATTAAACATGTCACAATCTTTTTAGTCCTAGCTTGACAGAGGGACCAGTCAGTCTTGAAAAGTTTCGACAGGTTCAGTATGTGCATTGTTTGTGTATAAAGTAAAACTTTGATATTAATGCCTGTCGTGTGTTGTTGGCCAATTGTACAGACACTGCTTTGTAAGGGGTCATGAATGATAAATGTCCTGCAAATGTTCAAAATTTATTTTTGTTTTCTGCTGGTTTTTCGAATCCCGTAAACCAATCTGGGTGTTGTTGTGTTGACGTATAAATGTTCTGTCGTGTTTTAGATGAGGAGGTACCAGTGATACAACCGATGTCGTACAGCATGGGGCCAAGTTTCCCGTCTCTCGAGGTAAGCAGTAATGTTTAAAAGAACTGCTCGACCCTTTCTTTATTTCCTGTGACGGGGAAACCTGACTTTTAACAACATCAAGCAGAAGTTATTTAGTTTATGTTGGATATGATTGTGTGTTGGTAAAATGGGTACCATTATGTCTTTTGAAATACTTTACAGGACATCCTGAAAGTCAAAACTTCAAAGTCTGACCTCACTAAATACTTGATTGTTATGGAAACAATGAGGAAAGCTCACTGTCCAGACTTTTATGGGGGATTGTCAGATTTTGAAAAAAACAAAACACTTTTGGAAATAAAATAGAAAATTGATTGAGAAAGATTTGTTTTAAAACTTCGAAAAAAAATCAAATTAAAATCTTTAAAGCGTCTGTCAGATAATAATGTGTTAGCAAATTTCAATTTATCTTTTAAATGAATTTGAACATACAGATTTTCTGTTTAAAACCGTGAACACCATAGTACACAAGTAGTGTTACTAGAACCTTCGGTACCACTCGTATATTACTAGAACCTTCGGTACCACTAGTATATTACTAGAACCTTCGGTACCACCAGTAGTGTTACTAGAACCTTCGGTACCACTAGTAGTGTCACTAGAACCTTCGGTACCACCAGTATATTACTAGACACATAGTACACTAGTAGTGTTACTAGAACCTTCGGTACCACTAGTATATTACTAGAACCAAATATAGGATGTTTGTTGTGTCCTGTACAGGTGATCCACTCTCGCGATGACTACACCCTCAATCAGCTGCAGAACTTCTTGGAAGACCGTTATAAGCGAAGAGAAACTTTACTCATGGATTATTCCAGGAAACGTATGTTTTAAACTTATCAGCTGAATAGATTTTATTGAATAACGTCAAACTTTGCAAAAAATACCTTAAATCATTTTAGTGGTGTTAAGACGATAAAAGAAATTTTTACTTATTTAAAAAAAAAATGAAATACCATTTATATCTAGAAAACCTGATGTCTTCATTACTGACACTTCTAACGAAATAAAATGCTCACCCTCCAGCTTCTATACAGTAATACTGAATTCAGTCCTTCAGATTTCAAGTTGATGTTTCATATCAATACAAATCCATATCTCATCAATACTTGTATTGTTGTTTTCGACACCTTATTGATGACCGACAGAGGAGCAGTTCCGGTCCCAGCTGGTTGTGTTTGAGAAAGAGTACTCCGCGGCAAAGTTTAAGAACACTGAGCTTCAGGCATCTCTGGATAAGAAGGAGTCCTACATACAGAAGCTAGAGTCACGACTACGAAGCATTGACAAAAAGAACGAGGAAATGACAAAAACACTGAAGGTTTCTGAACGTGATCGCCGCGAACTTGATGCTAAGGTAAGTAACAACAGTTACAGTAAAACCCACTCGACTAACGAAAAACAAAATCTGTTGTAAGGAAAACATAATAGATTTATGTAGATTGGGACTCGTTTATTATTTTTAAATTCAGAGAGGCATTTAATTAACTCGCTGTTTGAGTATTAAGGGGGTCTACTATGTATCATTTTCAAAGTGACAAACAATCACTAATGTAATCAGTGGTTTGTTATGAATAATTTTACAGCTGAATACATGTACAGACTGCTTCCACTAGTGACAAAAGTTCTTTATATTCCTAAAGTGAAGAAAAGATTTCTCCCCAATTTCAATAAAAGTAATACTATATTTTCCGAATTCATGTACAAACAGGCTGATGTAACAAAAACACTGGTAATGTATTTCTTCAGTGATGTACTGCGATATCTCAGAATGGAAGTGTATGATTATTCATAACTACATCAGTCGGTATTTATTCCGAAATCAATACAAGGCCGTTTATAAATAGCTTGTTTACCGATTTCTGAATAAAGTTTAAAGTTAGTGAATATTTATACCACTTTACTATAAATCTGATAGGGGCATTTACCACCGACTGGGTTTTTTTCTGGTTCAATTCAACATAAGTTGAAATTTTTTAGCATTTTATTGTGAGATGCTTAACATTCATTGTTAACAATTATTTGAATTCCCCACACACACACACAACTCTTTATATTCAAAGTTGTACATGAGAGTTGTTAGATTGTACATTTATTATCTTCCACTCAGCAAGTTAACAGGACATTTAGAAATGGTATCCGTCCATGTACCTGGTTAAAAAGAATTGCTCTCATCTATATCTTGTCTACTAGACTACTACAAGTGCCATGTTGACTATACTTACATCAATTGTGTTTCTAGGGTTGCTCTACTGAATGCATATTGCAGATGCTGATTTTGACCTATATTTATTGCTTCATGTTTTTACTTTTGACTTTTGCACTGCAGATGCGGATATCGATGACAGCGGCTTTTTGTTACCCTTGTTCTAGGAGAAACATGATTCTTTGTTTCTCCAAGATTAATAGTGTATCACGAGGGCAAAGCCCTGGCTTATTCAATATTAAACATGATTAATTGACAAGAAACAAAGTGTTGTGTTGCCCTACCACATGAGCAATACATGTTTTATTATGCCAAAATAATCCAATAGGATGATTAGGTTGATGTGCCATTGTTGTCGTCTTCTTCAGTCATTCAGAACTCGGTTGTAGAGAAATAAGGGAAATTGGATTGGCGAAACTCGAGTGTGTGAGGGCGATATGATGTTTTATTGTCCTGTCATGTGATCTTTATCACTGTGTAAGTCAGGCTGTTATAAAGTTGAGGTATCATAATATTTTTTGTTTGTGTCTCCAGCTCCAGGATAAGAATGTGAAGATCCGACAGGAACGGTCCGAGAAGGAACGACTCAAGAACGATTTTAGGAACCGACTTGAAATGAATAACCAGCATTGGGAAAAAAATCTGGTAAACTTTTGAGCAAAGATAATGCTATGTTACTTGGAGTAAATGTTGTATTATTAAGTGAATCTTTGTATTTGATACAATTTACAGAGCAAGCACTCTGCCTGTTTTCGCTAATATCTATTCTCATAAATGTGAAATATTTATATGGGAATATTGAATTTAAATAAAACAGGTCGTCTATTTAATTTGTCATGTATGGGAAGTTTCGAGTATTTGAGAAGAAATTAAATATCAGATCAATTCAGCACTTTTTACTGGAAATTTTTGAATTGTATTTATTGATATTAATTTAGATGCAACAGATTTCAATGCAATGATAAGACAATCTCGAGGACTAAATTTTCCATAAGAATATAATAGCATGTATAATCAATGCTTTATGTTTCATCTTCAGGTGAAAGAAAAACACAAAATAGAATCCGAGTTTGGAGGTCAGATCTGGGAAAAACAAAAGAAGTTGAATTTGCTGAGGAGTATAGTGAACGACAAGGATGCTGCGGTGGAGGAGCCTAGAGGTGGGTTCAGGACCCCGGCCCCTAAACCTCGCACATACACCACGCCGGGAAAGATCATGACTGCCAAATCTGAGACAGATATATCATCGGTTGGGACCAACTCAACTCCTAGGACCCGTACAGCAACTGGGACAGTGAGCTCCGCCCGGGCCGCTTATCAGCAGAGGATAGCCACATCCCAGGCCACCAGAAATGTAGGTGTTAATTTAGACCATGTAAACAATATTGATGTCAATGGAAATATTGTTTTCTTGTGTTCTTTTCACATGAAAAGGAAATGACAGGCACTTAGAAATCGATTGTGTCGCATAATTGCCAAAAAAATATAAAAAAAATAAATCCTGACTGACCTGATTAAATACTTTGCCGAAAAATTATAATGTTCAATATGAATATTTTCAATTTTATTTTTACACATCAAGTTTCCCTACTTACATATTCTATGGCATATATTTGTGATAACTATCCTAGATTTATATTTTAATTGCCATTTTATCGTTTTACCAGACTCCAGTATACAACCCCCGACATCGAAGGTCAAGGTCGTCCAATGCTGAGATCTGGTTGGACCATAAACCAGCTGGGAATGTTGAATTAGGTATGTATGCTGGTCTGTGATGTCAATATTTTCAGTGGCCTACTTTTTAACCATTCAAATATTTTAACCCACACATTTCTAAAAGTAAATAATACTTCAGTACACATACCTTCTGGTTAATGAAGTAATAGCATGATTATACTGACATGTGCTTGTGGTCACTGTATTTCTCCACTTTTCTACTTTTCTGTTCTACTGGTTCTTTTCTTGGATTTGAAAAAATAGAATTGTAAGCTTTTTTTTGGCTAATAAATGAGTAGCATTAATGGTATGCGTGCTATTGCGACTATGGCTAATGTTACTAATGTCCTGTTGATGTAACACATTCCCTGTTCTCTCTCCATCAACCCTCGACACACTACTAGCTGTTGGTAAGTTGTCCTGTGTTTGGTTTGTTTTTGGCGACATAGCTCGCAGTGTTTTTGTTTTGTATTCAGAACTTGTTGGAATACTATGATAATCAGAGTACCTGTTGTACGGACCTTGTAATCACTTAAAATGAATGATTAATAAGTTGGTTGACAAAACTTGATTTTACAAAATGTTTTCACAGATTCTATGCAGACATTAATAACAGACTTGAACAGTGTATGTTTCAAATCAGGCAACCGTAATTAAATTATTAAACATTTAACCAATGAGCTTTTTGTCTATATTTTGGTTCAGAAACTTTCTAAGTTAAACACCTTTAAATGGTTTGAATTTTTGAATGTGATTTAATATTAAAGTTATGTTTTTATAAGTCTGCTAGGGTTGTATCAGTACTTCAGATTGATTTCTGCAATACATTAGTGTTTATTCAATACATTATTGCTGAATTTGTAATATAAATATCAAAGATACAAAAACCTGGAATGGCTCATCTATTCCGTGTTCAAAGGTTTGATATGTTCTAACCTGACTATTTTCTTTTCCAATTTAAAAGGAAAGGATGGATTTTTTGAGTGTAAGTTCGTTATTTATACAAATTAATGTTCTTTCCTTTTGTTAAAATATTCTATTTTATTTTGTTTTTGTTTCATTTGTTGCTGTTATAAAATTCTTTTTGAAGTTGCATTTGAGAAACTTGCATTTTGTTTATTAATTCTAGTTTTGTGTTGTGTCTATCTCAACATTAGAATAATAGAAAATAAGATATATATTGACAAATAGACAAACAAACAATATTTAAGGATGGCCTTATATTTCTGTATCAGATGTCAGGGCTGCTTTCTGTATGTCTATGTAGATTTTTTTAATGTTAAAATGTAGCTTGTATAGAGTGTCAAATGTAGGTTTTGAAAAAAAAAATTAAGTCTAGCTTTGCAGTTCAAGATAGTGGCATATTTTACTTGAAATGTGTCATTAAAATCTATTTTCCACATATTAACTGGGAAGACATTTGACTACTGATCATTTATTATTCTGAAGTGGGAAAAAAACATACTGAACTTACGTTGCACTGACTCAATACACTTATTGAAAGAATTCAATATTTGTTAAGAATGAGCAAGACATCCCGCATAGTTCATTTACCACGATCCTGGGTGCAAGCCTATCCTCATTTCTTCCTTCGCAATTATAAAGCTCTCATCTCGGTTTGAATTCTCTATACATTGAATAAGTGACTTGTCTATCTTTTTCAGATGATCAGAAATTATGATAAAGTTTTTCTTTTGATAAAATGCCTACTATTTACCAGACATTGTGATTATTTCGATAACATCAAGTTTTTAGGTAACACCACTTAGACTTTTACTTGTAACATTGATTACCCAGAATATGAAATTTTGAAAAAGAATTATAGACACTTTGCCAAAATCATGTATCCAGTAGGTAAGGAGAAAGGTTAAATTATATTTGTAAGCTTGGTGATAGAGTAACACCAATTGTCCAGGTCTAGAGCATAACGTCTTTAATTGGACAATTGTTTATATTTGTATTAAAGCCTGGTGATAGAGTAACACCAATTTTTCAGAGCAGAAAATCTTCAATAAGAGAACTGTTTATATTTGCAGACACAGTGCTACAGCCAAAGATGAAGAAGAAGAAATCGGTGACAAAGTTGGAAGTGAAGGACACAAAGGAAGCGTCTAAGTACTGTCTGACCCACCAACAGATGGACAGTGGAGGAGAGCTAGAGACCAGACTTGTCAAGGTACAAACCAACACATTTCCAGTACAATTTTGTGAAACGTATTCCGTCTTTTCGTATTGCAGAGTTACCTTTTGTGAGCAGGTATTGATTATTATGTCATTTGTTTATGAGAGTAACGTCATCAATTTTTGAGAAAACAATGTGATTTTCTCACACAAACAAATGACGTAACAATCAATACCTGCTCACAAGAGAAGATAACTCTGTAATATGCAAAGACGGAACAACATCTTTAAAATCCAAGGGTCATGCTCTTGATTTACATACCTTCTTTGCACCCTTTGATTTTTGTGACTCCATGAAAGACTCCTGATAATCAGTTTATTTTTACCCCAACTTTTCTCCGAGGTTGTTAAATGTCCCAACTGCTTTGATGAACCATGTAAGTTTGAATGTTATATTGTGCCATATTTTCCCTCAAATTTGGTAAAAAAAATCTTTTCATTGCTGTTGCCAGGGTGATGTGATGCCAACAGCTGGCGGTGGTACAGCAGTAGTGTTTACTGATGTGGAGAGCCTGAAGCAGAAGTCGCCAGGAACCAGGAAGAGGAGGAGCTCGTGTCCCCAGCCCACGGACTACGAGGGGGACTGGACCGACACCGAGGACAGATGTCGAGTTGCCATTGAGGGACACGGCAAGAAGTAGGTGGAACTTTTAATAAAGTGATGCGTAATAGTAAAAATATAACAATGTATATCTACCAATACAGTAAGCTATTAATACCATTACAGTGATGTTTATTATGTCTCCCCTTCGAATGAAGGGAGACGTATTGTATAAGTACTGGTTCTTCTTCGTTTTCTTCTTCTGGTTCTTCTAATCTGACTTGTCCGGGCCATAACTTTTCAACCGTTAAAGATATCTTGACGAAACTTTAGATATGCATGCATCACCCACAGGAGGTATGCAGTGCACTGGAATTAGGTCACTGTGACCTTCACCTCAAGGTCAAAGGTCAAATAAGTTCACATTTTCAGTAAATTCTTGTCCGGCCCGTAAATTTCAAACCGTTAAAGATATCTTACAAACTTGAAGCATACCTGCATCACCCGCAGAAGGTGTGCAGTGCACTGGAACTAGCTCTCATGCCCCACTATATACAGAGTTATGGCCCTTTGTTCAATTTTAATACCGAAGTTTGTCCAGAGCATAAGTTCTATGTTATTTCACCTACGTTGACCATACTTACCATATTGATGTATCTTGGGAAGGCGGAATTTCTCACACTAAAATCATATTTTATGCCCCACTATATACAGAGTGATGGCCCTTTGTTTATTTTTAATACCGAAGTTTGTCCACAACATAACTTCCACATTATTAGGGTATCAAAGGTCAAGGTCACTGGGTCAAAGGTCAACCTTTCTGTTCTTCCAAATATGCATATTGGCTAATAAGGGGAGACATATGTTTTTATTCACAAAAACAAATTTCTAGTTTATTAATCGGTAATCTAGGAATGTACAATTTCATATATCAAAATTGAGCCCGCAGATTAATTTTGAGAACGTCTTATGTTACCTTACCTATAGTTTCATAGTAACTGTTTATCTACTAGCACTGGGGTGTTGAGCCAGTGGAGTTGTACACCCCAGTAACTGTCAGGCATATTAACAATACAGAGGCATATTTAACAAATGAGGGATTGATTCATTGAGGGAATAATGATAAACTAGGACATATTAACAACAGAGCAGGGTATATACATATAAAAAGCACCGTCATAACCATCCTCGATTCTCCAGGGGTTACACTCGCTGTCGCTCTCTACACCCCTGGAATATGTCAGCAAAATAGAAGGCTCAGTGTGCAGCACCTTGTTGATGAGACGAGGAGACTAGTTTGATCCTTTGATGTACATCAGAAGAATCTGTCTATCTCGAAACAGTAAAATTGACTGGCTTAGAAGTTGGGTGTCACTTCTTTTTAATCTTTAAAGGACAGGTATCAGCCTACGATTTGTCAAGTTCTTTTACCTGAGACTAATCAAATAGCAGTCCTGTGCCTTCAATTTTGCTATGACATATTTCAGGGGTGATGAGTTTTGATAGAAAGGAACATAATCAGTCTGATGTATCTTGTTGCTAAAAAATTGTGACCACCATAGTTATCTAAACTCTAGGCAATAATAGATGAATATAATAAAGTTATATGTATAAATAACAACTATTCAGGTTTTCTGGTGTAATATTGTGTTATTGATTTTCAGACGCAGTCGCGGGACAGAGAGGGAGTCGCGGGTGTAGGAGACTGCGGCTGAGAAGAGAAACAGATCTGTGATATTGGTAGGGAGGTGATAGAAGAACGTTCAGACGCATTTCAGGAAATACAGCACCGTACAAATACACCATATCTCCTTCAAAACAAACTAAGATGTATAAGAGACTTTACAACCAACTGTATAGTGATTTAAAAGAAATGTCTGTTGTCCATGCCAAATTTGAGAGAAAACAATCTTAAATTTTGTTTCCGACTATTCCAGGAGGCCGACGTCAATTTACTGGTAATATTTCTGAGATATAGCAGACACTTTCATTGTGAATTACTGTATACCCAATTACTATGAAATTTTCACCGCAGTTTTACTTTTGCCTTTTTGCTCTCACCGACGAGGACGTATTTATCCTGACACAAATATTAGTACACAACATACAATATATAGTAATTACGTGTGAAGGGTGAAATTAACACTAGGAGAACATGACTTTATCGGTAAAGGGCGAATATTTGACGAGGTGAAAGTTTCCCAGTATACAGGTAAGGTTCTGTATTTCCCTGAATGAGTGTAGTTGAAGTTCTCTTTATTACATGGTATTTCTAGTTTCTTGTTTGATGGAGGGAGCTTGCGGGTTACTTTAGATACACACAGTTGATTTCTGATTTTTGAATGACAATATTGAGTTTGATATCTATCAGAGATACAGCATGAAAATTGATTTTGAGAAAAATTGAACACTTCAATGTTAAAATAGTGTTTGATTGTACTTAAAAAAAAATATATTTGAAGTTTGTATTATCTGCTTGATGGAAATCAACATTAGAATAACTCTAAGAAAATAAACTAAAAGATACAGTATTGGAATAAAAAGTCCCCAAATTCTACAAACAACATTCACATGTGTATGAAGGAACTGTGTCTATTGGAGTGATATCTTGCACAGAATGTCAGATACCATTTTGATCTGGTGCAAAACATTTTAAGATGTAGGTATATTCCATGTAGTTTGTGTGTGTATATGTTCTCTATATGCATATTTAAAAGTGTATTTTAATTGTGTAGCATCTGTTATATATTCATTAGCAATTAATTCTTTTTCCTGAAGCAAGCATGATATAAAAGTTAACCTAGGTTTTGAAAAATCTGGAGAATTTACAAACTGTTTGAAGATAGTTACAACATCACATACTTCAGTATTCAAATCACTGAATCGTACACCCTAGTCAAGTCCTCTATAAATCTGTTTAATTTTTCTTTCCTTTTCTCTTCTTTTCTGTCATTTCTTCATTCTTTTAAGACAAGCGAAAAAGCCATTAGACATCAACGTATATAATGGTATGTCTCTTTGCTGTGTCTAAGACAAATTTGGACAAACTCTGTGTCCCTCAGTATTCCGTGTATGAGGCAGAGACACACTGTTGAGAATATAATACAGTTGATTATAATGAACTATGTTATACACTAATAGTTAATACTTGCACGCACTTTATTGTAATGTGATTTTATACATGCGTTAAAACAAATGAAAACCCATATTCTTATTTTGAACTTGTTTAATGTTATTAAGTTACCTTAGTTGTCTTGAGTGTTGCTTTTGACGTATACATTGTTTTTGACTCAAAACACATTCACTAAGCCCATTCAAACAAATACATTTCAACTTTTAAATCATTTCAAATATGACATATTTTGGTGTACAATATAGATTTTTTAAACATGGCTCACAACTCACAAATCTTTTTAACTTATCCTAAAAAGAAAATATTTATGACCTTATGTAAGGAAATCCAATATAAGCTGGAAACCATGGATGGACCCCAGACAATTATAATCATAAAATGTTTGTAAGGAAGCTAGAAATCAAATGATGTGAAGAATGTTTTTAGTACTGAGAAGAGTAGTGATAGGTAGCCTGGTTCAATTTGCTGACATCATTTGTGAAGCCTCGTTTTGATGTAAAATTTCCCTATTAGATTTCATTATTTTTTTAAACCATGTCATTTGAATAACATATAAAACTGATTATTGTATACAAGTTTAAAATTGTGAAAAATTCCTCTGTAAAATTCTTGCCATTATTTTTAATTTACTGTTATACTGTATACCAGGATATTTTTCGTGCCAGTTTAACTTTTGTCCTCCTTAATGACTCTGAATTAATCACGACAGCGATTGCTGCGAATTGTTATTACACAGCATACCATATACAGCAATAATACAGGGGTGAGGTGGGGACCAATTTAACACTAGGCGAACATGGAATTTTTCGGGAAAGAGCGAATATTTGACTGAGCGAAAGTGTTCCCGGTATACAGTATTTTTAGTCACAATAGATTACACGTAATTGGAATGGAAACATATCAGTTCTATAGTTTTTAACTCATGCTACTGTAAAATTACAACTTTGTTAGGAAATTGATGGAATATTGTCATATGTATGTTGTATATAATTCTGATTACCGGTATTCTTACAAATTGATGACTGTTTTGTGTCTGTATTTCATCAAATGTAAATAAATTTGTATTATAATATTTCACTTTGTGGTTCATTTGTAACAATTTGTAAAATTCATAGCCATCGATACAATGATGCATCGTTGATACGTGGAGCACCCTTTCCTAACAAGTCGTTTATTGAACCAAAGTACGATAAATTGACGTTTATCCGCAATTATGATTCAAACTACACAACGATACTTTTCTTATTTATCCAGCTAAAGCGTGAAAAATTGAGCACGACTTTAAGGATGAAACTACCTATTCTATATCGATAGGTTGTAGACTCCAGAAAATTCAGTTTTGTCCAAAATAATATCCGAAGGTAAGAAATAGGTGTTACAAAATTTGTTACCCGGGTTACCGGGGCGTAGTGATAGAGAAGCGTTGGTATCTAGTAACATTGCAAACAATTGTCAAGTAAGTAAATGCTTTGTGGACACAACCAGATACTTGATTATTGCGTGTAATTTGGACACCGGAGACCCCATGTCAAAATAAACATTGAACGGCATTTTCTCAATGTTCATGCCGGTATGAACGCAAATCGGTTACATGAATATAAAAAAGGTAATACAAACAACATTACTCCATAATGATTCTCTTTATTACAAAAAAGAAAATCTAAAGATAATATAATGATAACATATGGAAACAATCAACGATACAATATTTTAAAAATAAGTAATGAAATCTGACACCAAAAATGTTCCACATCATATTTTATTGATTAAGGCATATTTATATACATTGTTTACAATATCTGTATGATTGCTACAATACATCAATAATCATTGCTTTTTAAAAAGAATTACAAAAGGCATTTGTCGTTTAAGGATCCCTGGCCCACTGCACTGAGGTAATTCGTATATGCGGTAATCCCATTAATTTTGTTTCGGATATAACGAGCACAGCTGGGCAAGGACACTTCCGTTTACTAGGTTGTATAGCAATCTGAAGTCCAGAGTTCGAATCCCAGTCTAATCTTGCAGATTTATACTCCCAGAACACTGTTGTTTATTATATTTTGTTTATTTCGTCTTTATTATTATTTTTTCCTAAATGACAATCAAGGTATATACAACTTTCTTTTTAGAAATAATTTACTAAAGCTTAAGTCATGCCGGAACAGTTTCCTATGCGTAGTTACATTTTTGGCAATGCTACGAGAACCGTTAGTGAACATTTTCCTATGCAGTTACATTTTTGGCAATGCTACGAGAACAGTTAGTGAACATTTTGAAAACGAATGCAAGATATAAATAAATAGATACTAGTAAGAATTTCATTTGAGAATAAGTAATGAAATCTGACACCAACAAATTTCCTATACCATCGTATACTACTGATTAATTTATATTAAATACTATTTATATATATGTAATTTATAGATTGTATATATATAGTGTCCTCTGTGTTGAAGATTTATATATATGTCTGTAATTTATAGATTGTATATATAGTGTCCTCTGTGTTGAAGAAATAACATGTCAGGTTTCCTGTAATTGAGTTACTTATATATAATGAAAGTTCTCCAACGTACCACAGAATTATAATGAGGTTACACCAACTTAATATATTTTACAACAGGTTTTCCTACTTTTATTATTCACTCTTGTTGGCCCAGAAGACAGTGCACATGGGGTTTTCATGTGGAAGGAAACCAGAGTCCCTGGAGAAAACCCACGTGATCGGGTACTTGACCCAAAAACCTATTCATGTCCCATCAAAGAATCGAACCCCGGCCGTCTTGGTGAAAGGCGAATGCGCTATTCATTGCGCCTCCCGACCACTCGATATATATGTCTACATACTGTAACCCTGAAATTGTACCTGTACAACTATATCCGGGTATCTTGTCGAGGTCCATATTCAAATACATATGGGCTGCAAAACTTTACTGATATGCAAGAGGTACAAATGGATTTACAGAATTATTTTTTGTTATGTTTAATATCATCAACTTGCCCTGCATTTGACAGTAGACCACCGAGAGATAGTGATGACGAAGTACCCCCATCATTTACAGAGCTTTGGAAGGTGTAAGACGAAGTACCCCCATCATTTACAGAGCTTTGGAAAGTGTAAGACGAAGTACCCCCATCATTTACAGAGCTTTGGAAGGTGTAAGACAAAGTACACCCATCATTTACAGAGCTTTGGAAGGTGTAAGACGAAGTACCACTATCATTTACAGAGCTTTGGAAGGTGTAAGACGAAGTACCGCCATCATTTACAGAGCTTTGGAAGGTGTAAGACGAAGTACCACTATCATTTACAGAGCTTTGGAAGGTGTAAGACGAAGTACCCCCATCATTTACAGAACTTTGGAAGGTGTAAGACGAAGTACCCCCATCATTTACAGAGCTTTGGAAGGTGTAAGACAAAGTACACCCATCATTTACAGAGCTTTGGAAAGTGTAAGACGAAGTACCCCCATCATTTACAGAGCTTTGGAAGGTGTAAGACAAAGTACACCCATCATTTACAGAGTTTTGGAAGGTGTAAGACGAAGTACCCCTATCATTTACAGAGCTTTGGAAGGTGTAAGACGAAGTACCACTATCATTATCAGAGCTTTGGAAGGTGTAAGACGAAGTACCCCTATCATTTACAGGGCTTTGGAAGGTGTAAGACGAAGTACCCCCATCATTTACAGAACTTTGGAAGGTGTAAGAAGCAATGGTAACACGATGATTTGATTATATGGGTGCATTGCAATAACAATGTAATGCGCCTACAAAATTACAACTTTATAGATGTACATTTAAGATCCTCTTGACCTATAATAAAAAAATATCATTCGTCGTCGTCCGTCGTTTTTAAACGTTTCACATACTAGTAAGTCAATGGCATAGCATACATGTATGCCTAACCATACACTAAAAATTTAAGAAGATTTTTTTCAATCATAATTTTTATTTTTTATTTTTTATCATTAATATAACCGTCCGTATCGATCATAAAAAAGGGAAAGAAATAAAAAAAAAAAATGAAAATTTTAGTCCAGCGGATGTAAAACTTGAACTTAATAATCCGACTTAAAGGAGTTCCAAGAACACGGGAGATTGTTTCTAGGAACTAATAGATTTTTTTGTCCAGCTATGTAAGCATACACCCCGGAAAGCTATTTGCTGCGCCACTGTAAGTTACCCTTTCTTTAAAACCGACAACCCGACTTCATCCAACTTCGGTGTTTAGATGCTCTTGTACATGGCATTTTAAAGTTGTTCATTTCAATGGCCCCGGTCTCCTGGGGGCCTCTTGTTTATTTATAGTTCTTGGGTCTGAACAATGTCGCTAGTAATGACGTGTTTTAAAGTGACCACAAAAGGTTATTTAGCACAGAATTAACGCATAATCAGGTAGTTAACTAGTTAACCAATAAATAACGTGTAACTTCAATGTTTTTTCTAATGCTCGTGTATAAGTTAATTCATACTTTCCTTAAATTTTGAAAACAAATCCAGACTAAATCCCTGTACAACATTAAAATACCAACAAGTAAGCTACATTATTTCCGCTTTCATTTGTTTAAGCCCATTTATATATGTATTTGCATTTTACAGTTTTTTTATTTTTTGAAATTTGAATGGCAAACCAAAAATAAGCTGTCGAACTAGCGAGCTTTACGTTACACGTCTTACAGATTTTAACTGATGCAGAGGTAGGCGTTACCTTAACTCAGTGTGCTGATATAACGAGGTGAGGAATATATTACATACTTAAGTACGGCATATAATAAAATACTGTTCAAACCCCTTCACCAGTATCACCAGGAAACCGTCATTTCATGTATTTTGCCGTTCACGAACACCTTCATTTTTTTCCAATTCCTAGATCACATAATTTGTGCTGGCTGGTTAAACGGCATTACAGTCGGGCGGCATCGGTCAAGGTCAGTCACGTGGCGTTCTCTGTCACGGTTATGCGAGTAGAGGGTGCTGAAGTTATGGTAAATGGCTGAAATGGGCAGAGCCAATAGGATCAACCCACTGATTCCACAGAGGACGGATAGGACCCTACCTCCTGTGGTGAGCGGGATAATATCGCCATAGCCAATGGTTGTCATAGTGATAAATGCCCAGTGGATGGATTCGCCCATAGTTTGCTGTCGCTGTAATCTTTCGAACCAGAAGAAAAGGATTCCAATTAGCACACAGTTGATGATCATGATCGCAACATACATAAAAATTGTCCGCTTACTTTTAAACATTGCCAGCAGAAGAAGTGCAAGCGAGCGATTGGCCTTCAAGACGCGATAGAACCGGATGTACTTCAACATTCGAAGAAATCCGAGTATCTGGAGCAAACTAGGGGTGTGTAGTGTTCTCCCCAACAACAAACCGACAAGGCTAATTATCAGGGTAACGGCACAGGCCAGTAGAGCGAGGATGTCCAGAACATTGATGACGCTGAGGAAGAATCTTGCTTTATATGGGGACATGATGAAGCGTGTCAACACATCCAGGAGGAAGACTACATTCGCCAAGTCCAAAACGTGAAACGTTCCGTGGTCCAACAAGTCAGGAATCACCGAGGCGACGACGACGAGGAAGTAGAACAGCATATACCCCTTCAAAAGTTATAAAAGAACATTACATACCACTAAAAAAACATACCCCTACAAAAGTTATAGAACAGCATAACATATCACTACAAAAGTTATAAAATAACATTACATCCCCCTACAAAAGTTATAAAACAACATTACATACCTCTATAAAAGTTATAAAACAACACTACACACCCCTACAAAGTAATAGAACATTACATACCTCTACAAAAGTTGTAGAACAACATTACATACCTCTACAAAAGTTATAAAAGAACATTACTTACCCCTACAAAAGTTGAAGAACAACATTACATACCCCTTCAAAAGTTGTAGAACAACATTACATACCCCTACAAAAGTTGTAGAACAACATTACATACCCCTACAAAAGTTGTAAAACAACCTTACATACCCCTATAAAGTTATGAAACAACACTACATACCCCTACAAAAGTTATAAAACAACATTACATCCCCCTACAAAAGTTATAAAACAACATTACATACCCCTACAAAAGTTATAGACCAACATTACATACCCCTACAAAAGTTATAGAACAACATTACATACCACAACAATAAATAAAACAGTAGTTATGTTATTGATGTATAAATAGTCCACCCCTTGCAAAATAATACAATTAATGTTATCAACCTTTTAAAAACAATAGGACACGATTTATATTATGTTCATGTCAATTAAAAACCTGTCTGAGCATACATTAAAAATAGTAGAGCATGATGATTGATAAACTAAGAAACCGCTTTATCACAACCTAGTTCGTTTCTAAGAGGTTTACAAATTATTAACCATGGTTATAGGGCCTTTGCAACCAGCCAATATCTTTCTCAACTCCCTGCGGAGCATACAGTAGGAGGTGCCATTTCGGCGTAACAGCTAGCATTCAACAATTCTAGCACTGCCCAACCACGTACTCATTTACAGTAGAGTAGACTCGAATAAGCGGAGTAAAGTATCTTCCTCAAAGATACAACACAGTGCCGTGACTCGAACCCGCAACCCTTCGGTCACGAGACTGGCGTCCTACCACTAGACTACCGTGCCTCCGTAAAATGAAATATTATTTCATTCATACCCTTGAGGGTGAGGAAGGAGGATCCCGATCCGAGGGGAATAGTTGTCAAGCACGAGACTAGTCGAGTATTTAGAAACTTAAATATCATTCTATGAGGGTTTGCATTCTTCATCTCACCATAAGGGTGTGAGAGGTGTTTTCTCGTGGTAATAGAATATTATCTGGCAGACTTTGTGTCATTTTATATAATCTATTTCTATAGGAATTACCTTGCTAGGAGGATTGGACCCAGTAATATAGAATGAGTAGTGAAAACATGTAAAATAAATGCAAAATATATATTCTCCCTGGTCAATAAATGCCTACTGAGTTATCTGTGACAATGTGTCAAATACTTTTTTTATTGAAAATCTAAAGAACATTTAAAAAAACTAGACACTTTGTAGCAGTTGAACATGATACAGGAATATGTATACGCAATATGAATTGCCCAAATCGCATGGATTACTTCTTTACAAAATGCAATTCTAAGACTGAGTGTAAGACGTTTTGCATTGCGATCATATGTGTCGCTCACCAAAATAAAACACAATGTTTAGAACACCTTAATAGCATACCTTGGCCATCAGTGAAGAGGAGGGATATTCCAGGAGGTTCCAGATCGTGGACGTCACCTTCTCGGCCTTTTGAAGCATCTGCATACCATTAGGGAAAACTGGAAGCTCCATGTCCAGTAATCTCATCGTCTTCTCCACGCCGTCATCTTTGTACAGAACCCGCCAACAACAACTGGAAACGAGGCCAGCTGATATATCCCAAAATTGTAACTCCTCACGAATCTGACGTCCACAAACAGTTTCCGGGAGATGCAGGACACCATTTCTGTA